TGATGACTGGTCTGTGGTCAGTGTCTGTGATGTAGATGGGAATCACTCTTCAGTCTCTGATTTTTCTCAGTTTCGATCTTTTGGCTAGGATAAAATCAATTTGTAATGCTATCTTTAGATCATTGCATTTGTACCAAGTTTTAACTTGACTCCTTTTGTTTTGGAAGAAGGTATTTGATATAACGAAGTCATGTTCTGCACACAACTGTAATAGCATTTCTTCATTGCTGTTTTGATCTGTTTCCCTGTCACTGAGTGGCCTCATGTATCTCTCACACGTCATCTTCCTTGTTTCCACTCTGCCGTTTAAGTCCCCCATCATTGTCACATTATCTTTGTCATCCACGGTGTTTAAAAGGTCACTCAGTTGATCATAGAACTGGTGTCACTGTTCTTCGGGATATGAGTCATTGCATGTATATATATATATCTATCTATCTGTATTTGATGACCCTCAGTAATAGTCATATTCTATGGTGATTTCCCGCTTTATACCATACTCGTTGAATTTGCTTTCATATTCTTCAAGTCTGTGTTATGCTTTTTTAGTTTAGTTTTAGCTTGGGTTTAACGGCACTTGCAACACAAATAGGTCATATAAGCCCCGAAGATTAGAGGTGTTACAAGAGAGTAGCATACACAGAAAAGAACGAGGAGAGATAAGGACGCTTGATTGTTAAGAGGGAAAAAAGGAACAAACCACACCCCAGAGCACCCGCCAACCTCCTGTTTGAGGTATGCATGTAAGATTGAAACTGCTTTCAATTTTTATCATTTTCCCCCAGTAGCAAGTTACAGAACTCTTTAAAACAAAATGAGTGATGTTTTTCTTTTGAAAATCGGACCATTATTATGGAAAGTGTGCCCGTTTCTTTTTTGGTATAATAGGCATTGGACTCCCGACGTCACGATTATGACGTAATTAAACGGTAAATAGAATTTCACTCTTAATGTACTTGACTTTTATTTTCATATATTGATTCTACATAAAACAGCAAACAAAATGATATCTCAATGGTCATGATACAACTATTATTAAGGATTTTATGACGTTGTGAAGCAAAATTTCGAGTTTTGGTGGCACAAAATGCAGTGCAAAAATTTGGCCAAATCAGGGCGAAAATTGATTCACAAAAATGGTCGCTGCTTCTAAACTAACAAAGATAGCACAAACATTTTTAAAGCTCTGAAAACAGAAAGCCAAGCTCTTTTCAATAATCAAAATTTTAGTGCCCTCGGAGAAGTTTGAAAATTTCACTGAAGTGCCTAAATGCAATAGTATGAGGCATCAGACACTTGGCGACCAATCTCCCACATGATACTACATGACTACATGTATTTTGATTACCTTATGATAAGCGCCAAAGCTCAATATTAACTCTACAGTGAGTTTGAGTACTGGGATTATTGCCCTTGAATTTTTCTTCCAAAGGCTGTTGCGAACTTCGGAAGTAGCGATCTTTTTTTCTGGTCCTTCAACGACATCGCTACAAGTGTAGTCGACTGTACTGCGTTAGACTGCATACAGCATCCTGTAACTTTTATTTTAAAAAGACATATTTCGCGGGTCTTCTCTCAAAGGTGAATACACCTGGATTGTCTTCGCATGGTATGAATACATACCTGAACGACTGAACGCTCCCACAGAAACAATTTAGAAGTAGAACACTACTCTTAGTTTTAGTTTAAGTAGAGGTTTTACGCCGCTTGCAAATGCATAAAGTCATATGAGCGCCAGAAGATTAGGGTTTTACAAGAGAGCAACAAACATAAAAAAGAAAAAGGGGAGATAAGGACGATAGATGTTTCATTGGAAAGAAGAAGCTAACCACACTAGAGCACTGGCCAACCACCCACAAGAAGAACACTGGTGGTGGCTTGACCTGGCATGTCACTGTCAGGACCAACCTGGACTAAGTGTTATTAAAACAGACTTCCTTTTGGGGATTTTAAACTTATGTCTTACTGAAGCATAACCTTTAGTTGCACCACAAAAATGGTGTAGCTTTTGATGATGTGAACCAAAGATGAGGAAACCTGTGAGCTTTAGACAAAGGCAAGAAAAGTGTTCCCATAAGTGGAGTGTTACTATACTACGAGGGTCGTTCAAAAAGTTTTGCCTCCAAGTTCATAATTTTTTTTTATTACTGCTGCTACGTACAAAATTTTTACACCAAATGAAAGCTTAGAATGTCTGCTACATGACAGTAGCTGTACTTTTCAACATAGTCGTCTTCTTTGTTGATGCAGATCAGCCAACGTCGAATAAATTGTCGCATGCCGTCGGCGAAAAATTCATGTGATTTTCCTCTGAACCCGCGACGCACATCTTCTTGAACTTCATCGTCATCTGCATAACGTTTTCCTTTAAGGTACTCCTTCAACTTAGGATAAAGATAAAAGTCAGATGGAGCAAGGTCTGGACTGTATGGTGGGTGCTGTAAGGTCTCTTGAAGTCTGAGACTTTTCGTGGCATCTTGAGTGTGTCGACTCGTGTGTGGACGGTCGTGGTGCAAAATTGCATTTTTTCCGGGCCGAACTCGTGACAGCCGTGCTCTAAGTTTTCTCAGGGTCTCAATATATCGTTCCGAATTGATAGTGGAACCCTGTTCCAAAAATTCCATATGAATCAGACCATCGAAGTCCCAAAACACAGTCATATAAGCACTTTCTAAACTTTCTTTGCAGATGAAACAACTTTGAACTTCTTGGGGCTAGGTGAGCCAGTGTACCTGTATTCTTTAGATTGTCTTTTGTTCTCTGGGTCATAATGGTGTACCCAAGTCTCGTCTCCTGTGACTATAGTATACGGCGTAAGAAAACTTCACCCTCATCACTATAACGAGCCAGGAGTTCATCACTAATTTGACTTCGGTTCAGCTCGGGTGACAACATGTGGGGAACCTACCATGCACATATTTTCCTGTAACTTTAACCCGACACATCATGGATAATATACTGAGCACTCCTTACAGAAATCCCTAACATTTCACTCAAATCACTGACATCTCTTACTTTGATCCGCCGGTTTGCTTGGATGATCTCATCTACTCTCTCCTGGTGTTGGAACATCACTGGCAAAGTTGGGACGACCACAACAAGCTTGATCATGCAAATCTGTCTCTGCTGGACTGGTTTCAGCGAACTCCTTTGCCCATTTTTGAACAGTACTTGCATCTACTTCTACACATGCTTCACTAAAGACAAGCTTCATTCGCCTCTATGAATATCAATGGGTGCAGCACCCTCTGCAGTAAGGAACTCAATAACAGCTCTTTGCTTTAAGCGCACATTCATAGGTTTGCTGGACGCCATTTTCTCGGCGACAATGTACCCTAGCTTCTGTGATGTGAACAGCAATAGCATAAAGGTGTGACATCATAGGATAATCCTGTTTTTTGGGGGTTTGAGAGTAGGCTATACATATATTGAAAGTCAATTGTGTTCAAATTTCATGAAGATATCTTGAATAGTTTAGAAGTTATTGGAGAGGAGGTAAAACTTGTTGAACGACCCTTGTATTACTAGATCTAGTCTATATGAGAAAGTAACTATAATAAAGCTGAAGTGCCTGTAAAATATTTTTTAGGTTTGAGGTCCCCTTATCATCTCCTGGCTATTTAATAAACATCTACTTTCAGTACAGAAATTCCTCCACGCTATTCCTACTTCCGATTTATTCTCAGCCGTTCTCATCTAACTAGACTCTACAAAGCACTTTTGATTTTCATCATTTTTTCTTTGTGAAGCCCAGGTGGGAGCTTGTTTCCCATAAAGTAGGAGCAGGAGCAAAACACCAAACTTGCGTTACCTAAAACTAAAGTACCTAGGACTTTTTTCGTAGCCTACATGATGTAGTCCCCTTGGCCCGGTCCCCTTATTTTGTATCATGGACCAAAGAGTGGATGGTCCTGGTTCAAATTCCAAACTAGGGATTGTCTTGGACTTGGAGAGAGATGAGGCTTTTCACCACTCTCTCTCTCTCTCTCTCTCTCTCTCTCTCTCTCTCTCTCTCTCTCTCTCTCTCTCTCTCTCTATCTCTCTCTCTCTTCTGGCGCTGTGGCGTCATAAACGGTCAGCAATGCCGACAGCACCCAAGAACTCAACACTTGCTCGGGGGTCCTTGAATAGTGCTGAGCGTGGGTCACTGAAATGTCCCAGCACGCGTGTTCTGGCACAATAGTTGGCAAGACATTTCAGGAACACATGGTCCATAGTTTTGTCCTCCTTGCACGCTCAACAGGGCGGATCTAGGTAGTCTGCAGGCGCAATTTTGTGGAGATATGATCTCAGCTTGGGCGATTTTCCACCAGTTCACATTTGGGAGAGAAGCTGACGGTCCTGTCGTCTGAGCGAGGCCTCGAGCTGGTATGATGGCGGCTGGGTAAACGGCAGGTTGGGTTTCGCCTCTCTTTTCCACTTTGTGCGGGTCGACCGGTGGATGACGGCTTTAGCTGTTGAGAAATCGATTGGCCTGTCAGTCTGAATAAGCACTGCTGCTTCTTTAGCGATGCTGTCAACTTCCTCGTTCCCAGCTAGTCCAGCGTGGCCTGGAATCCACTGCAAGTGGATGGAACATTCGGAGCGTTGACAGAGGGCGAGAGACGCTGCCAGATTGAGCATGCCACCTTTTCCGATTGGTTGGCGGGGCCGTATGAGAGGCGCTTGTCATGTCTGCAGACCTGGAATCAGTGCAGTGCATACATGCATGTGTACACTATTCGAGAGACTGCCTGCTGTATGTAGTGAATGAAGCATGCCCAGCGCTGTGTCGAGAGCTACAAGTTCGGCCCTGTGGCTGGAACAATACCAGCCTGCGGGTACGGTGGTCAAGTTCGGTATCACCGGTCTTGATCTGCTGATCAGTATTCCGCTGCCTCCATACTCGGTACCGTGTTTAGCTGAACCGTCAGTCCAGACTTCTACATCAGGCAGGAGGAACGATCGAATGGTAGCTTCTACTGCTGCTTTCCTGACGGCTGGTTCATTAGCACGCTTGCAGTCGACGACGAGATCAATGCTAACTTTCCACTACTGATTTAGCTTGGTCCTTTTAGAGAACATTTGACCCCAGCTCCTTTAGAATTTAGAGAATCAAGGAAATAAAGATCTACGTCTACTGCCCAGACAAAGTTGCATAATAAATACTGCATTTAAGATTGTCTGTCAAGATGCAAAAAGCAACCATCACCATCTATTCTAGAATCTACTTCAACAAAGAAATTTGAGAAAATAATAGAGAAGCCAAATATCCCTAATAAAAATACAGAGCATACAACAGCTGGCTACTCAATTCTGTTGTAACAGACAGGCTGTACAACTCTGCTTGTCAGGGTCACCCTGGGCTAAATGGGACTGGCATTCCAGTACAGTGGGCCCCACTTACAACAGTAACAGTCTTGGTTATATTTTAAGAGGATTATCGCTATAGTAAGCTTATAATAAATCCCAGAACCTGATCTTTTAAAAGTTATAATGTATAGTAAAAAGTTTGTTTACAGCAGGTATTCAGAATTCTGAATAGGCATGCTTGGCCGGTAATAACAGTGGTTGCAACCGTTGACAAAATCCTAAAACAAATGGACAAGAAAGCAGAAAAAAGCTTTAGAAAAAAAAAGCAATTTTGAATTACGTCTACATGACCCACAAGAGACATAAGTTGATTATGGTGTGTCATACCATGTATGCAGGGGGGGGGGGGGGGGGGGGGGGGGGCAGCTGGAACTGGATGCACTTTGGTGTTAATGCACATTTTAGTTAGTCAAATTATTGACTCGAGTGTCTGAGTGTGACCAAGTCTGACACGACATCACATTGTCCCCTGAACTCCCTGTGGAGTGGTGAGACTTGTAGCAGGAACATGACTGAATGAAAAGTAAGCACTGGGTGCTTGATCTGCTACAAATCCATGCCATTCCTTTTACCAGCTGTGATTTTTGTTTGACTACGAAGAGTTGTAAAGCCCGTAGAACATAATGTACATCATGGTGTGTGCTAAATTATATGAAAACTAAATAAATAATAAATACAATTATTTTCATTTGAAATGATGCTTGTCAATCTCCATGAGTCACTCAATGAGTCTAAGCCTAAGGAACGGTACTGGAAAAAGAAAGATAAGGATGAGGAGCAAATAGTATCAGTGGAAGTGGAAAAGAAAGGAGAAATGACTGAGATAAATTGACAGTGGATAATATGAATCATAATAAAAACAAGGCCGGTGCTACTCACCCGATGTCGGGTGGTAAGCGTCAGGCTACTCTCACGATCTAGGGTGGTTAGCGTCAGGCTACTCTCACGATCTAGGGTGGCTAGCGTCAGGCTACTCTCACGATCTAGGGTGGTTAGCGTCAGGCTATTCTCACGATCTAGGGTGGCTAGCGTCAGGCTACTCTCACGATCTAGGGTGGCTAGCGTCAGGCTACTCACACGATCTAGGGTGGTTAGCGTCAGGCTACTCTCACGATCTAGGGTGGTTAGCGTCAGGCTAGTCGACCGAATTCGGTCGAGTAGCCTAACGCTATTGGCCCGTGGGGATTTTTACGACCTCGGGAGGCTAGCATTTTCTGCCCACCCGGAGCCGGTCACCTAGATCTAGTCTTAGTCTTATACGGGGTGCCCACTACGGCTGGATCGGGCCGATCGCCCGACT